ACGCGCTTGCCGCGGAAGCGGCCGGCGAGGAGGATCAGGATGGTACCGGGCTGGAGGGTCTGGCGGGGAGCCCAGGGGCGGACGGCCTTGCGGACCTAGTGACAATCGTCGTCAGTATCGCCGTCGCCAGTTTTCAAGATTTTTTGTGCGTGTTGCTTGCAATTCGACACTTGTGATAAAGGGGGCCATGTCATTCCGCAGATCACGAGCGTCATCTTCCTCCATGCCTCCAATTCATTGTGTGCGTTGGTCGATTCTGCGATTGGTTGTTGTGCCCGTATTGATGTGTTGTCTCCCTCCTGCAATCTCTTGGCTGTCCCGACTTGGGACTCTTGAAGTTTTGCGTCGTAATTCGAAAAAATTGTTGCGCTCGCTTTGTCGTGTCCTCCCAATTACATCCCAAGCCCGAACTCGTGACCGCTCTCGAAATGACATTTCCCTCCTTCCATCGCACATGCGCAGAATTCCAAGCAGCGCCAGCACGCAGATGTAGTAAACTCACCTTCTTGGCCTCGGGCTCATCGTCGGCGTTGTACCACTTCTGCGCCTTCTGGGAGGGGGCGGGGACGACCCGAGTCGACGAGCCGAACTTCTTGGTCGTGGATTCCGTCTTCGCCGACATGGTTGCTCTCGGTCCTCGTGGAGGGCTGTTGTGGTTAGCGGAGAATGGGGATCGTGAACGAAAAAGAAGGAAGTGGTTGATCTCGTTCGAGAGGCTTTGGTTGTTGGGGTCGGGTCGGCGGGAAATCGATTTCTCAGAAAATGTCTAGCGAGTGTGGGCGGCGGGTGTGGAAGGCAAGCCCTCCGCTAGTCCGGATTAGGCAGAGTGCATGCGGCAGAAACCTCTGCACTCTCTGTAGACGCGGGCGGTAAGCCAGGGCCCCTTCCCATACCGACAATTTCCAACGGGAGATTGTGCGCCCGATTTTCCGGGGCCAGACCCCCAGGGCCCACTGATCGGTCTGCTTCCCAGCTCAGGGCCGGAGTCGGATGTCACTGGACGTCAACAACCTCGAAGAAGCAGCACGTAACTCCCTCTCTTGCTAATCCCTAGGTGTTGGGTGAGCTGTTGATTACCCGAAAGAAATGTCAGAATTCAAGAGCTCTCATTCAGGTATTTTCTTGACACCGTCAAACACAGCCTCTGTCCCATGAATGTAGTTCTACTGAGTAGTCGGAAGACTGCCTACCTATGATGGGCAAAGAGCGCTGGCGGTATTCGCATTTCGTCATGCGCATGGGCCACGTGCTGATAAGATAAAGCTTCGGAACATGCTAGACCTCACCGAAAGTGCGAGAATGTACTTGTGAAATCTGCCGACTTCGTGACTTGACAACACTAGGGGGTTGCTCAAAGGATATTTGAAGCCGTGTACTTGTCTCTCTTTAGCTTGTTGTACAATTGTCATATTGGAACGACTTTTGTAACACATGGCATTGGCCAGTAGTCACAATGCAAGCCAGAAGACAACTCATCTCATCCGCCCGGCGTATCGTCGGGTCATCGTCACCCAGACCTACACGACTAATCTCAAGAGCCATCATCAACGAATCTGCTGCACTCAGAAGCAGTAGCAGGCTTCTACCAACGATAGCCATAAGGACTTATGCAAATGGAAGACCTCATCCTCCAGGCGGTACACACCGCATGAACATGGGTGGCGAGCCAGAGAAACCGGCACTCGAGCAATTCGGAATCGACCTGACGGCGAAAGCCAAGGAGGGAAAGCTCGACCCTGTCATTGGACGCGACGCTGAAATCCAACGAACTATTCAGATTCTATCACGGCGGACAAAAAATAATCCTGTCGTCATTGGCAAAGCCGGCACCGGCAAGACAGCCATCCTCGAAGGCCTTGCACTGAGAATTGTGCGTGGCGACGTCCCGGAGAGCATCAAGAATAAGCGTGTTATCGCCCTGGACCTAGGCTCGCTGATTGCGGGCGCAAAGTTCAGGGGAGACTTTGAAGAGAGACTGAAAAAGGTCTTGACCGAGGTCCAGCAGGCAGAGGGCGAAGTCATCCTCTTCATCGATGAACTGCACACATTGCTCGGCCTCGGCAAGGCCGAAGGATCGATCGATGCGAGCAACCTGCTGAAGCCAGCACTTGCGCGTGGTGAACTTCAGTGCTGCGGTGCAACTACATTGGAGGAGTACCGCCTTATCGAAAAGGACGTTGCCCTTGCCCGGAGATTCCAGCCTATTATTGTCAACGAACCCACCGTCCAGGACACAGTTAGCATCCTGCGCGGTATCAAAGACAAGTACGAAGTCCACCACGGTGTCCGCATTACCGATGGTGCCCTGGTGGCAGCCGCTACCTACTCTAACCGCTATATCACCGACCGATTCTTGCCCGACAAGGCAATCGACCTGATGGACGAGGCTGCCAGTCATCTCAAGCTCGAGCATGAATCGAAACCTGAAGACATCATGGCCCTCGACCAGAAGATCATGACCATTCAGATTGAACTCGAAAGCTTGCGCAAGGAAAAGGACGTGGCCAGTCAAGAGCGTCGCGACAAGCTGCAGACGGACCTGAAGAAGTACGAAGACGACATCGCTGAGCTTACCAAGCGTTGGGAGGCTGAACGTGGCGAGATCGAGGCCGTCAAGAAGACTCAGGAGGAGCTCGACAAGGCCAGAATCGAGCTGGACCAGGCACAGAGAGAAGGAAACTTCGGCCGCGCGTCTGAGTTGAGATACAGCGTCATCCCCGCCCTTGAGCAAAAGATTCCCAAAGATGGCGAAAAGTCAGACGGCAGCCTTATTCACGATGCCGTCACTGCGGATGACATCGCAGCGGTCGTTTCAAAGGTGACGGGCATTCCAATTTCCAAGCTTACCTCTGGCCACATTGAGAAGCTCGTGCACATGGAAGATTCCCTGCGTGAGGCTGTCCGCGGCCAGGACGAGGCAATCAAGGCCGTCTCCAACGCCGTGCGCCTCCAGCGTGCCGGTCTCAGTGGCGAGAATAGGCCGCTGGCGTCCTTCTTCTTCCTGGGACCGACTGGTGTCGGAAAGACGGAGCTCTGCAAGAAGCTCGCGGGCTTCCTCTTCTCTACCGAGTCGGCGGTTGTCCGGTTCGACATGAGCGAATTCCAGGAGAAGCACACCATCTCGCGCCTCATCGGAGCGCCCTCCGGCTACGTGGGCTACGAAGATGCCGGCCAGCTCACCGAGGCCGTTCGCCGCAAGCCTTATGCCGTCCTCCTTTTCGACGAGTTCGAAAAGGCCCACCGCGACATCTCTGCCCTCCTCCTTCAAGTCCTCGACGAGGGCTACCTCACCGACGCCCAGGGGCACAAGGTCGACTTCCGCAACACCATCATCGTGCTTACATCCAACCTCGGCGCAAACATACTCGTCGGCGCGGACCCCATCCACCCGTACAAGGAGACGGCTGACGGCGAGATCGACCCTTCCATCCGGAAGGCTGTTATGGACGTCGTGGCCGCGAACTACCCACCAGAGTTCCTCAACCGCATCGATTCCTTCATCGTCTTCAAGCGCCTCGCCCTCGCCGCACTTCGGGATATTGTCGACATCCGCCTACGAGAGCTGCAGCAGCGACTCGACGACAAGCGCATCGTACTCGACGTTGGCAGCGAGGTGCGAGATTGGCTCGCGGAGCGCGGCTACGACCCCAAGTTCGGCGCAAGACCGCTCAACCGCCTCATCACCAACGAAATTGGCAATGGGCTTGCGGACAAGATCATCCGCGGCGAGTTGCGCTCCGGTGAGACGGCGGTTGTCAGTATCAATGAGGATAATTCGGGCCTGAAAGTTGCGGCTCAGTCAAAGGCGTGAAAAGGGGATCATCTAATTACGACATGTACCACTACTTTGCTTTGAGTCATTGTTTAGGCGCACGGAGTACATGTAAGGAAAAGGCTGGATTCCCCTCTCTCGAAAGTGTTCGTCAACTACCATTGTAGCATTGCTGTAACGCCGCATAAGACTGTAAAATCACAGATAGACCGTATTTATACGTGCATTCTACTCACATGTTCCACCCCGTAACCCACGGACAACACTCGTTCTCGATCCTACTCATCTAGTGAGCCTGTGCACTTATAACCCACCTTTCACGAGTAGCCATTTGTCCTCTTGAGTCGCATCTGCCTACATCCCATCCCTGTGACGTCGAGTACCCACACCCACGCGTCCAAGACAGCATTCCACACAGGGGCTCTGCGGTAAGACGGCGTTGAAGCGTACGCTTTAAGAGGGGGGGCTAGAACTCTAGGCTGAGGATGCCGCGAGACATTTCCCACAAAGGGGCCTTTCAAGGAATGGAGGGGTTGGGACGGCGGCAGCACCAAAAAAAAAAGAACGTTATCGCATATCCCGTGGCACCATGAAACTTTGTGAGAAAAAAAGGAAGACAAGTCTATAACGATTCTGTCCCAACTCTCAAGGCTAGAACTACCTGAACCCCCTCCATACCTAACAACAAAGACGACAAACTGGAGGGAAGCACGGCGAACCACCCCTCATAGGGGGATTGACCAGTCATGAAGAAAATCGTTAAGCCCAGGTCTCATCCCTTCCCCTACCGAGAATGGTGGGCGAACCAGACCATCAAAAGAGCAGAAAACACCGTCTTCATGGAATTGTGCGGAGGCGAGAAAGCCAGGGTGTTCATGAGTAGGCTTCTCCGTCACATTTGGACGGAGAAGCGTATAGAGTTGCTGCGTGAGGACTGTACAGATTTCCCAACCCAAGACGCCCCCTTTCTTCCAAAACGAAACTTGTCCTTTTGAGACCAGAATGTGTGTGCTTGCTGCGTCGAGAATGCCAATGGAGTGTGGCTCACGTGATGTCAGGGACCACCATGGGGAGGAGGGGATGGAAGGACGAGGAAATGCGAGAAAATGAGTTATGGACTATTCGATTGCCTTGTGACCGGTAGCTTTGCGAATTACAACCGTACCAGAGGGATGACGTGAAAGAGTAGCAGAAGAGCGGTAGTCCGTTCGGCTTCTCTTCGCGGCATTTACTGGTGACCCGCCTTGCGCAGGGTGGTGGCAAGCCACTCGAGACCCTCGTAGAGACCATCACCGGAGGTAGCGCAAGTGGACTGGATGTACTATTGGGGGGATTAGTATGAGAGTCGTAGTTCGGCATGCTCGAGGGAAAACATACCCAGGCGCGTTGTCTCAGGGAGTGAAGGCCAAGCTTGTCTGTGATCTCGGCGGCGTTCATGGCGTTCTGTAGAAGAAAAGGTCAGTCGCATGCTTTGAGTTGATGAAGCCTCAAGGAGCGCCGAAGGAGGGGGGAGGGGGTGGCGGGGTAACATACGGGCAAATCCTGCTTATTGGCGAAGACCAGGAGAATGGCATCCCGCAGCTCGTCCTCGTTGAGCATGCGCTGGAGCTCCTCACGGGCCTCGACGATACGGTCGCGATCGTTGCTGTCGACGACGAAGATGATACCCTGGGTGTTCTGGAAGTAATGTCTCCACAGAGGACGAATCTTGTCCTGACCACCGACATCCCACACGGTGAACTGGATGTTCTTGTACTCGACGGTCTCGACGTTGAAACCTGAAAGGGCGGAATGTTAGCACGCCATTCGCCTCCTCGATGCATTGACCTATCGACAGCGGGGGCGCGAGATTCGATGATGACAAGAGGCAGAATAGGGTGGTAAGGGGTGGTGCGTACCAATGGTAGGAATGGTCGTGACGATTTCACCGAGCTTGAGCTTGTAGAGAATCGTAGTCTTTCCGGCGGCGTCAAGACCGACCATCAGAATTCTCATCTCCTTCTTTCCCCAAAGCTTGTCGAAGATCTTGGAAAATGCGAGACCCATGGTTGCGGTTCGGGCTGTGATGAACGTCTAAGTGTCGGTTGCGTTGGGTAGGAAGAAGTAATCTGTTGAGGAGCGACAGTGTAAGCAAGCGCGCAATTGATGAATTTAGATTAAATGGCAGTGACGTCGAGAGAAGATGCGGGCGGGATATAAATCAACGAAGAGAGCACAGTCGGAAAGGACAGATCGTAACGGAGGCGGGCAGGATCGGGTCACTGACCAAAGTCTGCCTGGGCGCTGAGCGAAGGCAAGATGATGCGATGATGAACTGGTCAAGGTTGAAGGTGAGAACCAGGCTGCCGCAATTCGCAAATAGAGGAGAGGAGATAGCGGGATAGAAGAAGTGGATGTGGACAGGCGACGTGGAGGGAGGGAGGGATAGGGATATTGGATTGGGTTGGGGGGCGTGTGGTGGGCTGCTCTGCCTTTCTACTGTATCCTGAGGTGTCGTGTCCAGACCGATGCAGGCACGCGCGCAAGAGCAACTTTGGCCGAGGGGGTGAGAAAGGGGACTGAGGGGGACGAAGACCCGACTGAAGATGACACAGAGGCTGGAAAGAAAGGGACGGAGTCGAAACAAAAACAGGTGATGACGAGAATACTAGTGACTTACTTCTTCACGAAGTCCCTCTGCGACGGGAGACTGGAGACGAGTGGTGGTGGTTTTTTTTGGTCGTGGGTGTGATTGTCGGTGAAGGGGGGGAGACAGTCCAAGTGTCAAGAGGATTAGTTTAGGTGGGTGGAATAGAGGCGAGCAGAGGGGGTGGGCTTTGCTAAGATAATCTTCGGCTCAACGAGGTTGGTGGTGATTTTCAGAAAGGCCATGTTTTTCAAACTCTGTGTCCCCACTTCTACTCGACCACCGCTACAAACGGACGCCACCCTGTGGCCCGCTGAGGTACCTTCCCTAGCAAGCTACTGTCTGGCAATACTTGCCCTTGGGATTCCTAAAACTGCCCACGCTGTCATGTTCCATAAGGTAAGGTAAGGTACCTCAGGTTGCGTGCTGAGGGCCCCAAGTCAAGCTGGGCACAGACCATAAGATAGGTTAAGGCAGGCCACTCGAAGCTCCCTGTTGGCTCCCCTTCTAGCGTTGTCAACCGCTAAAGGGCCCTTCTGAAGCACAAAGTACCCGCATCACGTGCAGGGGTCGGCTTCAATGTACCGTGGGAAACAAAGTCGGAAAAGCATCGGTCCATTACGTCTGGCCCCCCGAGCTAGACTTCTTTTGGCTCAGCCTCAAGTCCAACCAGACGTCGCCAAAGTGTCCAGACTCAAGGAACAGGGATCACCTCCAGGAACCGATCTGGAGAACAGCCTGGACACAAGCCAACGTCGCTCCTTTTTTCCTCCGGCCCTGACCTCTACCATTCGACTCCAGAACAGCTCGACTCTGCTGTGCCTGCCGACCAGCTTGAGTCTGACGTCTTTTCGTATCGGCCACGACAGAGAGCTCTTACACCACCCTGAGGAAAAAAAGATTGGAAGCTCCCGCCATGTTCTTCCCTTCAGTCGCCAAGCTGCTCCTCGCAACTGGCTTCGTCCACTCGGCCTTGGCCCACAACATCCAGCTGCCCGCCCACGGCCGCGAATGCTTCCACGAGTCGCTGCACCGCGATGACAAGATGACCGTCACCTTCCAGGTCGGCGACCGCGAGTTTGGCAGCGCCGGCAACCTAGACATTGACTTCTGGGTACGAATCCAGCTCCAACCTACCCCACCACCACCCCCTTTCGAATCGCGTACTTTGCGCGCAATTGCATCATGGCGAAGGCAACAAGACTAACGATTGACTCCCTACGCCCATAGATCACGAACCCCCAAGGCCAGTACGAGACCTTTGACAAGAGTGTCTCCAACGGCGACTTCTCCTTCGACGCGAAGCACGACGGCAAGTACACCTACTGCTTCGGAAACGAGCACTGGGGCGCCCACAGCAAGGAGGTCTCCTTCAACGTCCACGGCATTGTCTACGTTAGCGAAACAGATGTCCCTGCCGATCCCCTCGAAGTTGAAGGTAAGGAGCACGCCAGCGCAATGGGTTTTATCAGTGGGGTTTCTAGGCTTCTCTAACACTTCCTCGTTATAGTCCGTCACCTTTCCGAGCTTCTCGCCCAGGTCAAGGATGAGCAGTCCTACATTGTCCTTCGCGAGCGCACTCACCGTAATACCGCCGAGAGCACCAACAGCAGAGTCAAGTGGTGGAACCTGTTCGTCATTGGCCTCGTCGTTGGAGAGTCCGTCTTCCAGGTGTGGTGGCTTCGCAGATTCTTCGAGGTCAAGAGGGTAGTTTAAGAATAAAAAGGCGTCGTCATTTTTCGTTTTCCGGATACCCGTGCTGGGGACGACAGGTCGAAGGCGCACAAAAAAGGGATGGGGTCTTGGCAGGACACTCTTCGAGACCCGAATGCCAACAACACTCCTGGAGATGAGATTGAGATGTATAGTGTATCATAGATCACATGAATGACACGAATGGTTCTGAACATGAAGCAAGGATTGGCTATTTTGATATGGAGTGCAATACCGGCGAACCTTTGAGCGTCTTTGACCACAAGACTCCTCACAGAGTCTTTATTCTCAGCCTTGGAGCACCATTGGCATTGTCTAAGCATCTACATAACAACAATTGGCAGACAAGCTCGTTACTCGAGAGGAAATCTTTGTGTTACAACATCCACACAGGCAGCCGGAACCGGCCAGCATTGTTCGTGCGTGCCATGTGGGATTACAGGAGGTTTCCATCCATGACACCAATGCCACCGGAAGCCGTCTAAATACCCCATCCACGGATTCATTAGGCACAGCTGTGATGGCACTTGTGTAGTCCTTATGACTCACGAACTCACAGTCCGGGTTTCCTCTATGAGAATGTACTTGGACGACCTCCTCTAAGATTGCGCCACGAGGCAGGCTGCCATAAACGAGCTCGAATTCACCACCGTGTCCAGAAGCTAACATACCGTTGCAATAACTGTCTCACCTATGGATGACGCAAGGTACCATTTGCTGCGCTGCCACAAATCAGTTCAAAGCGACGAGATGGGACGGTGACTGACCGGCTGCCTGGGGAAAACTTCACAAGGCAACAACTTCACAAAAGAACAAGTGGTCATTTTACTGAATCGAATTGTGATGCAAGATTTTTGCTAGCCATCCTATTTGGCCATCATGACTCCCTCTAACCTGACAGTCATTATGTACATCATACATCATGTATACGGCAACGCATTAATGCCTTTTCCTACAATAGCCACGAGTCCATCTCGTAAGCCTCAAAAGTATGCGTTATAGAATCCAACAAAGCTAACCCCAAGACGCCGTACCATCTGTATGTCCCAAATGTAGCCCTTGAAATAAGAGCAAAACAACACCAAGTGCAACGCAAATAGGTCATGCTTCATACACCTCCAAAGTCGCCTCCTCATGTTCATGCGTTCGGGTCAGACTCAGGAACGCTCTCCGTTGTCTCTTCGGGTATCTTCTCCACGGGAATATCAACTCCCTTGACAGGATGTATGAGCATTGGAGGCAGGCACATACGGCCCTCACCACCACGCATCTGGCCAACACTGGACCCATCCTTGCTCAGATCTTCCGTCTTCTCGAACTCCTCGCCACCATCATTGTTGACTTTGAGGCCGAGCCAGCGACGGTACAGATTCGGAGCAAAGCCCGAGTTGTAGAACCAGCTGAGACCACGGAGGTTGTGCTCACGCTGACCAAACACTGCAGTGCGAGCACCACCGCTAGCTCCGTTCTTGCCGCCGTTGAGAACCTGGGCCAAATATTCCGTGGGCCATTCTCTGTCGACATACATGGGATGAGGCGCAAATACTGCCTTGTAGCCGTGCTGGAAAGCGACGGTAACAGGCCACATTTCCGGGAAGGCAAAGTGCTTCTTGAAAGCAGTCTCGCGGTGCATCGTCATGAGCAAGCGGCGGGACATGCGCGAAGCCGTGATGATGTGTGCTCGTCTAGGCGGCATAGGCTCGTCCCGGTTGTTCTTGTTGTATCCAGTAATGTCCTCTGATAGCAACCAAGTGGTTCCCTCAGGATCGAAGATGGGGTTAAAGGCAATGTAGTCGGCTTCTTCGCCGACACCCCAAGTGTACTTGTCCTTCTCGTACGTGGTAGGCGGCTTAGGGTCGTTCTCGATCTCGAACCAGTCATCCTCATTGGTAGGGCGCTCGGGTCCCCAGATGGTCTTCTCGCCTCTAGTAATCTTGGTGGGATCTTGGTTCTCCTTAGGCTTCGCGCCAGGAATGTTCTTCCACACGTTATCAGCGCCATCTGTTCCCATCTCAGACTGCACACGGGCCATCTGTCTGAAGTCCTCCCAGGAACCGTGGACGCTAGGGATGTAAAATCGAGAGTTGCGCTCCCACATTCCCTTTCGCGGTTGCTCCTTGCCCCAGTTCTCCATCTTGGAGAAGAGATCATAGTAGTGGCCAGTGTAGCGGATGTCCATCTCCCAGGACCAGTAAAAGTCGTACTCAGGGTGCTGGTAGCCGAAGTATTGCATAGCCATAGTAAGGCCACGGTAAACTCCGTGAACTGGCAAGTCAGGTCCACGAGTGTAGAGATCGAAGATGCCCTGGTACAGAGACAACATCTGCGTCTCTGTCCACAGCGTGACCAGGCCTCTGAACTCCTCGGGAATGCGCTCCTTGATACGGCGTTCATAAACCTCGTGATCGGCCCAGACGGGGTGTGCTGCGTCGTTCTTGATCTGAACGAGGAGATGGACATCGTAGCGTCCGCCTGAAGCCAGTGCCAATTCGGAAATGACCGAGCGAACGTTCATAATATCCTCCTCGCGCCAGTTGTACTCGTCCCAAACACGGATTACTACAGCTGTACGGGACATCTTTTCCTTGGGCTTTTGCTCCTGGTCGGCTTTCGTATCTGACTGGGTGGCTTTGGCGCCGGGCTCCAAGTTGTCGAGAGGATCGCGCGTCACCAAGGTGGCATTTTGAGCAGGCTCGTCGACGAAGAAACCACGTGCGGCGGGGGTCTTGGGGGGCATCGGCTTGAATCTCTCGTTGTTTGACTGGTAGCACCGGCGCTGAGCGTCTGCCCAATCGACTTGCCGCCAGTCCACCTGAGGGGTCTTCTCCCACACAGCATCGGAACCTTCCTTTTCGCCGTGCTCGCCAATTCCGAGACCTCCAGCAGGAACGGAGTACCCAAAACCATAGGGCGCGTAGCGTCCGAATCGTTCGTAGCAGATATCTTCAGGCAAGTTGAGTAGATCGTAAGAACCTTCGACGTGCTGGGGGAAACCTTGAGGGCGGCCTTCCAGGTAACGAATAGGCGGGACGCGAACTTTATTGTCCTTGTCGATGAAGCATTCGTTCATCTTCTCAGGCTTTGTCACGAAAATGGAGCCAGGGTGGTCGATGAACTCCTTGCTCTTGGGCACAGCGCGTCTGACGGCATCGTCCTTGCCATCCTCACTCGTTGTGGTGACGGTGGTGTTGATGTCGAGCTGGTCCAAGGGAAGTTCGTCTGAGGAGCGGGGGTACGAGGGAATGTACTTGGAAGGGGCGACTATAGATCGAACACCTCCGTAGTATCTTTGAATGAAGCCAAAGGACTCCCATACCGGCGGAGGGTCTGGCTTCTTCTCTACCTTGCCCTCGATGATCATCTTGTTCTCAACGTGACTTGCGCGTACCAGAGACATGATCATGACCACCATGAACGTAAGCAGTCCTAAGCATAAGTATCGGATGATTCGGTTTGGGAAGCGGTAAAGGTGGGTACGCGGGCGGCGGGCTGTCGCGAGAGCCCGCTTCGGGAGCATCATGGCTGCGCTCGAGAGCGATCCTGAAGTCTGCCGTGAGCTCTTCGCACTCGGCGAGGAGGATGTCGAGTAGTCTTCCGATTCGTCGTCGGACGAGTAATAGTCGTCGTCATCGTTTGAGAGGCGCTCCTTGGTGCGCAGAGGACTGAGCTGCTCGTATTTTGGTAATCTGCCCGTGCGGTTCTCGCGAGACCGCAATGGGTTTGAAAAAACACCCATTCTTGGTGCTGGGTTGGAGTCTTGAGGTTCCCAGAGTTAGTTTCTGGGGCAGACAGAGACGACAATAGCGGTGTCAGTCGGTGGTTGCTTACCACGAGAAACCCGTGAACACCTCCAAGTGCTGTGGTAGAGGCCCGGTGGACGGGCGTGGCGGCTCTCCTGACACTCGCCTGGGTGTAAACGATTCGCGTAATACTACAGAAAGACCTGTGAGGTTTCCGGTAAAAGTTGTCGTAGAGTATAGTATACAGCAAAGGCGAAGTCGGTAGTATTGGGTGAAGATGGGAAATGAATGCTTTGGACAGAATAAAGTAGAGGTCGCAAGCCAAAAAGATGGAGATGAGGTTCGGGGGCACGGTGCTAGGGCATCATATGGAAATGAAGCGCAGCAGGGGAACGAACGACGGAGGTTAGTTTGGGCCAACAGAGTCCACCTCGAGTAATATGGATCTATCAATGTTGGATATGAGCGACCCAGCGACGGCGGGACAACATGAGGAAAAAAGGCAGGAGCAAAACAGCGAAAGACAACCTGGGAGAGGTACGTATTTCGTTGCTGCTAAGGTTGACCAGTGTGGTTCGGCAGTCCAAGTAACTACGTATTTTGGGTGGGATGCACACTGTGAAATGGTGTGTGTCGTCCTTGCTTTGAGCCTTCCATTTGAAGAGACGGGGGGAGTTCATTGTCTTTGTTGGACCGGGAAGGAGGGTGAGGGTGTGGAGCTGGTTCTTTCCTGGGCCCCCCTATCCGCGTCCCACGCCATCGCCACTAAAAAGAATGGATCTGATTGGGGAATTGGTGGGGGTCCCAGACGATGACTGGCCAACTACATGTTGCTCTGAGCAACGGGGGTGTGTAGGCGGTGACTTTTGGCAGAATTACGAACACTCCACTCCCCTCCAGCTTGCAGCCTTGCCCCTTCCCCCCGTCCTGTCGGTGCCAGGCTTTTTTTTTCTTGCCTATTGGATGTTGACCAAGAAAGGTTCAAGGGCCGCAGCGCCGCACCGGGACCTTGGCCCAAAGCAGCGACGAACAAAATGCAAGATGCACGCCTGCCCTCTCCTGCTTTTTCTTCCTAGGCCCGCCGGCTACGACTGGATTCTAGGTGCGCGCCAATGCGGGTCGCCCAGAACTTGCAGGAGCACAGCAAGGGTTGTCGCCTTGGTCTCGACTTCCTCGCTAAAAGCTTGACTGGGGTCTCCCTGACAACCATTTAAACCAACTCCGGGACTGGTTGCCCGCTACGGTTCGGCTCCTTGAGTTGAAGGTGCGTTCCACTTCCCGTCCTCCTGCAATCCAGCAAATCCAAGACGCTCGAATTCCAAAATGAAGGATCCTGACACTGTCTGGACACTCCTCTTTCGAGCTTTGACCGTCTTTGGTCTCTTGGTCCATGGCATCACGATGAAAGAAGACAACTGACACCGACGCTGCTTACTTTACTGGGTTTCCAACTTGCAACTGACTAGGTGGCCAGGTAGGGATCACTCGCCGGCCCCCAATCGCAATTCGCACTCCGCTTCAGCCCACAGGAGGGATTGTCTGCAATTTGCAACTGCAGCCGATGAATGAATCAATCACAACCCGCGCCACATATGGAATCGTTTCCTGTCTTGTCGCAACTCTCATCTGACCTGCACAATGAGACTGGATGAAGCTGCAACAAGTTCGGACGCGCTGCTCTGTTTCGTCTCAGCCTCTCCTGAGCCCTGAGTCCTGCTCCAACGCTCTTGGCTGTCCCATGAGACATGGTCTCTCCATTATTCGGTGAGTGTACCTACAACTACCGGTCCGACTCGAGGGAGGCATTTCTTCAGCCAGCTTCAATCTCGAGCATGAATATCCATCCATGCACCCCGCAGTGTCTCCTATTGTATCTCCAAAAAAATCGACGTCATGCTGCCAAGCTGTTTGGTGAGGGAGGATGGATTAGAATTTCGAGCAAGACCACCAACGAAGAACGCCTATCCCTACGGACCGCGACTCATCATCTCATTTCAAACATTACCCAAAGAAAGCACCGACGCAGTGTGCCAGTGCGACAAAGGAGATTATCGCAATGAGATGCCATACCGATCCGCCAATCCGTCAATCGTGTCTCGCCGACTTTGCAGATTCCAGGAGAACAAATGTAGAACACGCCGAGATTTAGCAGGCGAATATCGATTTGCATACCCAGTTTTCATCTTGTCATGCATGTGGCTGAGGGCGGAAGTTGTTACGGTGCATCCCCGTACTGTGGTTGCGTTGTAGCACTAACAACGTACAGTGGTACGCTCGCTGTGTTCTCCGTATGTACAGAGAAAAAGTCGCCCTCCCAATGCAACCCCCTATCCATACCTTATGTTCATCCCTGATCAACGCTACCTCCTGAAATCGTGGCTGCGAGGTGGTAGGTATTATACATTCACCCACTTAGTCCAACCCAACTCCCAAGCTCCGCATAACGGCGTATCTAATCGCTTCCAAAAGGCGCCGCATCGCTTAGATAGATTGGCGCTTTCCGATGGCAAGACCTTGACGCGTCCCGTCTTACCCAACACGGCCCGCAGCCGACAAGAATAGTCTCCTGGTCTCAGCAAACTTCACGACAACGGCAAGCCACATTCCTAATAGATTCATGCCGGTTCATGTACTGTGCCGTTTTCTCACTCCCAATCACTTCCTCGGTCGCTCAATGCTCGAGGCAAGAAGAGGAGAGAGAGGGCAGTTCGATGCTTTTGGGCATGCGCAAACTCTAGTCACAGTCGCACGGCCTAGTTGTCCAGAGACGTGGTCACCATGACTGTAAAACGCAATTCCGGTCTGGAGTTCTTCAGCGAGACTCTTGTACTGTTGTTATTGCCCAACTGTGTGCAATTCAGAGGATTCTGGTTAGGCACTCGCTGCTGAAATTGGAAGCTTCTTGCGTTTGAAAACCTGTCAATAGTCCAAGGGGCAGTGCACCGCCAACACCTGAGAATACGAGCTGAGGATCAAACAACATCAGATGTCGAGCAAAGCAACATATCGTCCTTTGAGGAACTTTACGAGAGTCGTCACTCTGCAGCCAGCCAATGAAGACAAATTCGGAAGGGAATCGGCTAACCCGCCGCCGTCGAGTTGTACAAGTGCGCCCCTCACGGTGGAGACAAGCATCCGTTGGCCCCAAAGTGCTCCGGCGGCTCCTTTCAAACTCAAGCACATCCTCCTGACCTCTCACCGTCCCGGAGGCCCCAGGAAGCCCTCCGGCACCGGCGGCCTGGGTAACATTGTCCCCGAACTGGCGGTGGAACCTTGCAACCTCAACTCAACACCGAGGCGTGGGACGGCTACCGTTGAACGCCCGACAACTTCTACGAATACTCCGTTCACTTCGAGTAGTTGATCAGGCTCAAAAACGCGGTCGACAAGTGCACCGCTCCAGCGTGCGGAGTAATCTCGCCTCGGCAAGGGTCCTGTGTTGACTGAGGGCTGCATTACAACGGCTTCTTGCTTGCCTCAGAAAGTCGGTGGACAGGAGGCCTGATGCATACAGGGCCACGGTACGCGGTACTGGCTTTGCCCTAGCTTGGTCGCCGAGGCGGGAACTTTGCCTATCTCTACCTCGCACGAGCCTAGTGTGAAGAGTTGCAGGCCAAAGGCTATATGCGGCTTGTGGTTCAGACTTCCCTTCACCTAAAACTGGCCACTCAGATTTGACGCTTTTGTCAAACACCGTCACTTGATCAACAGTCACCTCGACGCCCAGCTCCCACGACCCCGCATAAGGTAGTCTGACTTGCGACAAGACCCCCCGGTGGCTAGTCGAACCTCGTGGTCACTCGTTCGTGTGTCAGGTCCGGTCGACCACATACCCTTACTTTGCGTTCACTTTTCCTCGCCTATCTTTTTTCTTTCTTCTTCTTCTTCTTGCTGCTTCACCTACTTATATCGTGCTCCATCTCATCCACATCGTTGTAAATCCGCCGCTCGAATTCACCTCATCCCATCCTCTTGAGCCTGGCGGCTGTGCATATTAGTGCCCATGCGTCTCAACATCTCGTAAGAACAAGAAAAGCCAGCCATGTCCGTCGCTATCACTACCTCGTCGGCCTCAACTCTCCTCCATGAAGAGCCAATTGCCTCCCCCAATGCCTGCGGCGTGGGCCTAGAACTCGATCAGGCCTCCGTGAGCTGCGTCCTCAAGCAGGAAGCCATTTCTGTCACTCTCAATGGCCCCGCCATCTTCACATTGTCTATGACTCTGGCTCTCATCATCCACTTCTTCGAACCCAGGATCGCCGAGACCCTTCTTGTCATCATCCCCATCCTGCTGCTCGTGCGGAACGACTACCACAACTTCCTCGGCCTCGGACCGGGCGGCACACCGGCCACGTTCCAGGGCTACGTTCGAATAGCCTGGCTGCGGCTCTGGGCACTCCGAGACCCCTTTACGGCGCCCGAGGCGAGGCCAAACATCCTCCCGAAGCGAGGCATCCTCCGCCAGGATGGAGACCTCACCCGACTACCATATCGTCCCGGTCCCCGACCCCAGGTCGCCGGCATCGCGCCGCAGAGGCAGCTGGATCAGCATGGCACGGTGCCGCACTACCACGCCCTCCGCAAGACGTTGCAGAAGCTCGCGGCCGCGAACCCGGGAACATTCGGTACCGCGAGGTCCTGTCTCGAGAAGCACGGCCTGGCACTGTTTGCGCGGCACCCCGTCAACGTTACGTGCAACGGGGAGGTTTGCCACGTCCACGACTCGGACCACAGCTTGCACATGAACCTCCATCCCGAAGACATCCGAGAGGTGCTGGCCAAGGGCTGGGGCCAGCGGCATCCGTTGGCGTGGAAGGGGACGTTGGTGAGGATGCCCGTGCCGGAAAAGTTCGTCATGGTATATGCTCCGCGAGGTACGTTTCTTCACACACACACATGATGATTTTTTGGATTTTGGAAAGAAAACGCTGCCTTGCTCTCCAAGGCGGCGGCGGGTGACGGCTAGATGTCACACAGTTCACTCTTTTTTCTGGTTCCAGCAGAGAGCCAACAACGAAGGCGAACAAGAATTTATACATCGTCGCGGGAAAGGGAGAGGAGGAGAGAAGAAATCAGGTCTGGCCCATACCGTTTTTCACCAATGCTGACTGTATCTTACAGATGACCACGAGTTGAGAATCGTGTGCAAGATCATTGAGGCGGCTATATGGTACGTCGTTTCCGAGCGAACAGACATCCAAGCCGAGAGGGCCGCTTGAGACTCTTCCTCGAGCAGTCTTACGCTACTCGCTTTGAAAGCGCTTATCAAGACACACATACACGCACACACAAACAGTTTACAGCAATAAAAAATCAGGGGTTGTTGATTTTTTCCGTTTGGCAATTGGCATGAAGTTGAAATTTGGCCTGGAGTTGGAGGAGTCTTGATAGAACAGAAACAAGTAGATGAAACAAAAAACAATTTGACTCATTGACATCTTCGTCTTCTTCACGGGCGATAAATGTATCTGTTCAATAATGAGGAGAACCTCGAATACAGGGATTGCAGGTGTGGGAGAGCTATCGAGACAAGGATCCTGAAAATGCCCTCACTCTACATCTCTTACTCCTTCCTTTTTTGTTAGCCAAAATACTGGCAAGTCTAATGCTTCGCTTCTCTCCCCCCTCATCGACGTATGAGCCGTCTCAGTTGATAACCCTCCTTGCATTGCGTTTTGGCCGTTCAAAAAGCAAGGCAAACGCGGTCTGGAGGTCTGAACGAAACGTTTGAAGCTGCCCAAAATTGATATGGTATTCTGCCATTGAAGGCTCTTCTTTCCGCACCATGTGTCCTTGCGGTCTGCAGTAATACAATTCTATATATACAAGCCTTCCAATCCGGAAACCAACCGTCCCAAACATGATAAGACGAAATCCACAGAGTACCTAGTCGCTATCGCTGACCTGTCCCCTGGACATCTTGAACTTCTCCCTCGGCTTCGCTATACTCGCCTCCACGATCCGCCCGTCAAACGCCCGCCCGTGCATGAGCTGGATACACGCCTGCGCGGCCTGCGTATCCGAGAACTTGACCGCTACCACGCCGTCCGGCTCCTCGTCGTAGAGCACCACGTTGGTAACCCTCCCCAGTTTCCCGCACTCGTCGCGAATGTCCTCCTTGATCTCCACCAGCGCCGCCGGGTCCTCCTCCAGCTCCGCCAGCGTGAACATGTGCCGCAGGATCACCGTCCGGTTGCGCTTCGAGGTGCTTTCTACGGGTGCCGCCGCCACGTCGTCGTCGCTCCAGTCCGCCAGCTTCGCGGCCATCTTCTGCGTCTTGCGGATAATCTTTTGCTTGTCCCCGTTGTTCGTGCTCCGCTGTGACCGGGCGGCAGCAGCGTCTCCCCCTTTCTTATCCCCCCCTTCCGCGCTATTGGTGTCCTCGTCGTACTTTGTCTTCTTATAACTCGAGTCGGCAGCCTGGACCTTCATCCTGGGCGTTGCCCCCGCCGGACCCGGCTCGAAGCGGAACTCGGTGTCGTCCAGCAGCATAATGGCCATCTCGACGCTCTGCGGCTTGAAGAAGACGACGAGCGCGTCGCCCTTGAAGTTGCCGGCCTCGTCCGTGTACATCTTAATGCGCGGCCGGCCGCTGTCAATCTCCTCGGCAATCACGCCGGCTTTTCGGGAGAAGAGGTCGTGGACCTCGTCCACAGTCGCATCGGCGGGTAGACCCGTGACGTAGACGGCTGTGTTCTGGCGCGGCGGCGGCGGTGCGCGCGCTGGCTTCGCCTTCTTTGCTGGCCGCGCCCTGCCGTTGCCGTTGTCGTTACCGCCATTACCGTCACCGCCGCTCTGTTGTCTGTCCGCGCCGCCGCTGCTGCTGCCGTTGCCGCCCGCATCTCCTGACGTGGGCGAGTCCTTCCGTTTCCTTGGGTTATTGCTGCCTCCATTGCTGTAACTCGGGCCGGCGCCGGCTCTCGACAGGTCTGCCAGTTGCGCCGCGGTCTCGTCTTCGTCGTCGAGTGGTTCTATGGGTTCGTCCGCGGCCTCGGCCCACGTGGATGTCGCCGGGTCGAACTCGAGCTCGGTGCCGTCGTCGAGGACGGCCAGGTACTTGTTGTCAAGCTTGGAGAAGGAGATGCGCTCGTCGCTGCCAAAGTCCTCGACGAACGTCGGTAGAGGGTCCTTCAACTGATCAGCCATCGTGAGAAGGGTTGCTGAGGGCTTCAGGGCAAGAATCCCTCGAGGTAAAAACTTTTGAACGCTGTGAAGGTTTGGTGTGATGTTCAAAGTGTCTGAAATTGGAATGCACCTTTTGGCTTGAATCTAGGCACGAATTCCGATCGCATTCTCCAGTGACGTTAGTGGGCCAACGGTGCAGGGACTGGGGTCAACGTGGGGTCCTGTCGTCCCTCAACCTTGGGTACGTACCCAACAACACGATTTTCCAGGTTCCATGTTCTCCCATACGTCGGGAGTAGGTGTAATCGGAATGAATTACCTGCTAAATAACAAATATTTTATACGGATAAATGTACTTATGGAAAATGCTCTCGATACTGGAAGCGAGGTAAAATCAGCATTTGGCGGCTCCGAACAGACATGTCGAATGTGCTGTCTGTCTTTGTAGAACCTCATTTGTGTTAATCAGTTGCTGGGGCGTGTGTCGACTTCCTTACCTTCAATATGTCCGACGCATACAATGCCTAGTCCCAAGACACCTACAATGTGTTGCTATGTTCAGTTTCTCCTGGGACTTCTCGCACTCAATCTGCAGACAGGTCCGAGGGTCTTCACCAGATACATCATCATCATCATCGCTAGATGCCAGACGAGGGTCTGAATATCAGGCAGTCTATTGTTTCGATTTCTATCATCTCAACATCCAAGCCAAATCTAACCCTGCTTCTTCTCCTTGACGGTTGATTTGACGCCCTCGACAAAGGCCTCTACCGCTTCGCCACCGCCCAGGGGCATAGCACCACCCCTCATATAACCGCCATTGGGCACCTTAACGCTAAGAGCCTCCGCAATTGTGGGAAGACCGCCATCACGCAGCGCCATGGTCAAGCTTCCAAGTGCCTGATGGAACTGGGGACTTCTGAGCACTCTCTCCAGCAGGCTCTTCTTCTCTGCGAGGCTCAACGTGGCTGTGGCAGCAGCAGCAGCGTCTGCCGTGGGCTCAGAGTCACCCAGGTCATCCGCCTCCGTGGCAAGCACGACGATTGCGGGTGGCAGAAAGCTTAAAAGGCTGTCGATAAACTCCTCCGATGCCGATCGAAGCATTGGAATGGTGATCTCGTTCGGAAGAAGATGGCTTAGGTACGGGAAAGGCTTGTCTGCGTGTTGCTGCTGCCCGCTTTGCTGTGATCCACTCAAGTTGGCGTTGCCTTGTAATGATGCCAGGAAGTTCCGAACGGC